CCGCCTCCCTTCCACCGGATTTATGAGGCAGATTGTAAATTGTCAAAAAACGTTGCTGTAAGTGCTGCCTCATTGCTAGCTCAGTTCAGCTCTAATCTCCGGAGTGTCAACTGGCACAGTGATGGTGGGCTTGCCCAACTCATTCATGGATCACTTCTCAACAACGGTGAATGGTTGACCAAAGCAGCACCTGTCACACCAAATTTCTGCAATCGTTCTGTACTTCGTAAAAAAACATGGAAGTTCACTAACCATGATCGAACAGCAACTTCGAGTACAGAAATTAACTTAAAAACACATTTGACAGGAACTATCAAGTGCAAGCTTCTAGATACTGTGTAGAACAGACATTGGCTTTATCCATGGGATTGAACAAATCCCCTGACATGAAAGAGCATCTAACTGTTCAAGGTGATTGATCATCTTTAAATGCAACAATCCGGCTCGACTAAATGTACGTAGGTTAAACCCAGGGTATATTTGAATTTCGTCAAAACTAAATAGCTCAAACCTTTTGCCTACTTTCTAAGACACCGTTTGTAAATGCATTCGCATCTGGTTAAAGAGCAAAAACACAAACAGCAAGGTATTTGGTCCACCCTGTCGTCTATGTCAGGTGCATTCTCCGTTAATTGTATCTAAATTGCCGTTGATAATCCAAACAATGAAAAAAAAGCAGAAGAGAGATGTTTGCTCTCAAAATTTTGCATGTTTCACAGGTAGCTCCTTAACAACTATGCTAAAACGTACATTCTATAGATTCGACAGCAATACTTTCCCCTTTGTAAAATGTGACCCATTAAGAAATCTACAACTGAGTACTCTCGTGCTAATTTAACAAGCATTGTAAAGCTTACAGCTGCGGTAGAGAAACGTAAATTTCACTGCAAATTTTCTTGTTCCATTTCATAAATATTACATTCCAGACGTTTAGTTCACTCGCTAAAAATTCAATTTATAGTAGAAAAAATAAAAAAAACCTGTGTTTAAACACTATCTAGATTAAAGTAGCTAGTGCGGAATGCAAAAGGATGAAAACACAATGTGTGTTCAAAATGCACCACTGGCACCAAAATATTAAACGCATCGTAAAACGAAAGGATGTAAGAAATGAGGGTGGGTCAAGCTGCAACTTGACGAGTAAATTCGAGCCATGCACATTACAAGCTTATCCCGATAGTGTTTCCAGAGCTTCCATTGCACACCCACCCAACGAATATCGTTGTCTTACCAAATTCACTATTACGTGACTAGTCTGGTCGTCTATTTCAAAAACCTTAATCGGTGTAGAAAAGGGAATTGTTCTGCACGTGTATAACACTTGAAATGTCTAAATACGACGCCAACATAAAAATGGAGCAGGCCTTAGTTTTGCTGCTACGGACAACCCAAAATATTGACTGACAAGGTCTCCGTTTCCCCATGGCACTGAGCCTAGGCTCTTGGGTGCTTATATATTTGCATGAGTTAGTCGGGTTTGGATTGCTGTGTAAGGCGAAAAGGTTTTACGTCTACTTAAAAGTGAGGCAACAATGTCGGTGGCATTTATGTGCTCAGGCGTTTTCTGCTGGTTGTCTTGTGCTGCCATCGTGTTCATGTTTCTCAGAGTTAACAGCGTGAAGAAGCAAAGACCTGGACAAATAAGGCCTTCGAGAAACGACCAGCCAACGCATTAATGCGCACGTCATCTTGCAATTACAGCACTTCTCAAGTCAGGTTCTCAGAAAAGCCAAATGCTAGTTGAAAAACAGGTATCACAGCGAGTCGACTCAGCACAACAATCAACATTTTCTGATATTGGTAGAGTATTAGTACCGAGGGTTCAGATATAATTTTCAATGAAAGTGTCTGTGTGCTCGTGCAAAAAAAACACTCATATATACATGGTCTAATGCCTCGGTGAAAATTCCATCGTGTAAGTTAAATTCTATTTTCAAAAATGAGAACAATGTAGTCACTATTTCGTAGTGAAGTAAAGGCCCGTTTTTAATTGGTGTTTATTACCCAATGAAAAGGATACAACAAATAAGGACGGGACTATGGTGTACGCGAGTGAACACAACTAACCTTGTTGCGAAATGCCGACGAAACGAGGTGGCAAGAATAGACGTGAATCCCCTGTTGTTGTCTTGCCCACAGGGATCCCAGTTGCTCTCAGCAGTCGCCGCAATGTAGATTTACAAACAAACAGGAGAACTAAGAGGTGCCTGGATATTCGCCGTTACGTTTGTTTGGTAGTAATGCGGGACATCGATTAACTGCAAAAGTTCATTGCCATTTCGTTCAGTCTAAGATTGCTCAGTACAACTAGATGAAGCGTCATTAAGAGGGTAGAGAAGAGTTAGAGTGGGGCGCCGCAAACTGTGGAGAAACCGTCACACGTGCGACTCTAGCAACAGTGCAGTTCGTATACCGCTTGGCTCACGGTTCAGTATGACTGGAGACATTGGTAATGAACCAATCCTGTCTAAGAACCAACGTCTGGCTAACAGTCCTACCAATATTAATACAAATGTTGCCGAGGTTACATCGACGAAGGGGATTACCAACAGAGCACTCAGTAGGAGTCTTCTAGAGCACTGACGGAGTCGGGCTTGATCACCATCTCAACGGTCGAACTAACCATTTGAAAAAATACTAAAGGAACAATTGCAGAAATTTACTCGGTGTTGTGTAGTTAAACGGCGAAGGAACCTTGTCAGTGTGGATCATCCTAAAGTCCAGAAAGTGCTGTCTCGTGTTTTTAAAGATGGTTTATTCTGGTTCGTGCATTGTCATCCGGGAATGTATTCAGGGCCTTTTCTGCTTCATAAGGCCGACCACTAAGACTCCCTTTCTCAATGCTCAAGGAACATTTAAGGATTGCTACATTTGAAATTCTGGTTGAAACAGAGCACGGAGCCTTGGCAAGGCAACAGGTCTATAAAGAGGCTCTAGAGAGTTGTGCATGTCTGACCATTCTTTGTTCTTCGGCCTATCAATAGTTACAGCTTCGTGCCTTAGCTTCGCTTACAGTTTGGTTGAGCAAGTCTACCTCAGCCACGTGCGTGCTTCGTCGTCTCGTGGTTTTGCGCTATGAGATGCTGTGCAAAGCATCCGAGGCTGCGTACGTGTGGTGTATACATGGCCCTGTGTGAGCAACTGGCGCAAGTAACTGTCCGTTTCGGTCGCAGCACAATCACAAAAATCCTTCTTGGCTGACTGACTCTCCAGTTCAAAAAGGGACAACTTATTCCACCAAAATGCTGCATCACCTTAATTTGATAATGCCAGTGTCCATTAGCGATGCTCAATGCTCTCCATGCTTGGTTTGAGTAATTAGCAACAGTTGAAATACGGCCAGTTAATAAGAATCGGTTGAAGTTTCGGACAAGGACTCACCAAAACCGTCTTAATTATTCCATTGCAATCGTGGACGGGACATTTGTAGCCCGCTGTCCTTGCATGCGGTCCACTCACGCGCCACTCGCTTTTCGTCTTGTTGTCTTTCAATTCGTGAGTCTTAGCTACTGCCCATGGGGAAATGCCATCACTTAACCTACTGACTGTACATCCACACTTCATGCAGAAACTCTCATTTCTTGACTTTTATTCTCGCACTTGTTCAGTCGTTACCTTTGCATGTAACAATTACCTACACAACGACAACAACAACAACAGCAACAAAACCAACAACAACAACAACACTAAAGAAATTTATTCTAGGGTGTGAATAGCAAGATGTGCGTCTACCATATACGGTCCTCTGTTGTCTTCGTGCCAACAAATCAGTACCACCTATGAGATTCTAGCCACATTTGACTGGTGACCGAAAACGTGTCTCGACACCATAAAACCACGGACCTCGTGACACAACAAACATTTTCGTAAATAAGAAGGCCCTTTAGTTATGTCAAGCCCCTACAGTAATTATGCTACTACTAGTGTTAGCAATAATAACAGTGTAATTAAACTCCCGACCAGGAATTCAGAGCTGCCACACGGGGCTTCTGTCATGTCGCCGAATCTTGAAAATCAATATTCGACACAGGTTTGAGTCCGCCACCGAAAGTCACGGTTGAAATTGGGACACAAATTGAGCTCCAAAAAAGGTCCTGGTTGCTGTTCAGTGTTCAGCATGTTTTTAGGGCTGATAATTTGTCACTCTGGGGTTCACCAATGTCCGTTCTCTTGTATTCGGATTACACAAGTGAAATTTCCATTCAATTTTTAAAAGTGATTGATACGTACTCAGACAAGACTCAGAAGCTAACTCCAGTTCACATAGCCGACAAGCTAATTCGTACGCATAGGAAATCCTTGGTTATGCTAGTTGACCTCCAGAGGTAGTGCTTGGCACGTACGCGTGACTAGCACATTACTCAACTTCTCGTCTTGTCAGAGGATTCCCCTGACACACACCTTCTCTTAGGGGTTTGTCCAAAGAATGCAGCCTATGCAACTTGTAAAGGTGGTAAATTAGCATCAAAAATTACTGTTTTTGTTTTTGGGACAGCACATTCTTATGTGGATGTGTGCTGACTTGGCAGAGGAAACATCTAGCAAATGTATATAAGCAATGTAAAGCAGCTTGAAGAATAACTCACGTGTCACTTAATGAAATGGACCTTTTTGCATAGCTCAGCTACGAGGCTTGCTTTCTGCTAATTAACTAAATTTGAAAATGACATTATGACCTAGACGCAAAAACATAAAATTGCTGACACTTGAAACTTGATTTGAAATTCGAAATGCCATTTCTTTGGAGCCCACAAAGATGAAACTTATTAACTAACGTGAAAACGATGAAAATTTCGTGAGCACTTCCACGTCACTCTTGGCTATTGAATGCACACGCCTCTAGACTAAAGAGTGTGGAAGTAATCGGACGAGGTGTACATTTCTTAATTGGTGTTTGTAAAGAGAGAACTTTGTACATGGGTAAGGAGTTTTAAAAGACGCATATTTATAAGGGACCAGAGGTGTGGGCTCAAGACAGTTTTAGCTGGACGCGCTCACCAATGTCGTTGAGTACTGTTCGCGACAGCCCCGCCGAAGGTCTCGCCCTCGGTGTCGTCCGCCTCTCGCCTGCTCCGAAGACTCGCGAACCCAAGCTCGAAGAACTGAGCCGCCTCGACGGTATAAACACGGATGCAACCGAGGCCCCAAGCCTAACGTTTGACGACGCCGTTGAGTGGGCAAAGGGACTGAGAAAAATCGATCCTCCATTTGTGACGCTTCCCAGACCCTGGTCCTGATATGAAGTCTGTTCGACGGTCGCACTTGACTTCCGACAGAAGCAAAATATCCTCTCACACTGCTCCCGAAAAGCGGCACTGGTAGCTAGGTAAATGTAAAACTTTGCAGCATAGTGCGATATGCCGAAAGACTCGATAAGCGAACGGACAGTAAAGAACCGAAAGTGTCGGCGCCATGTTGGATCCTATATCCTAACTCATTGAATATTTTGATGGAGTTTCTCATTTGGTCACTTTTCATTTGTTCTCGATGAATGTTTCTTACGTTCTTTGATTTGGTTTTTGACCAGGAATTGGATCTTTCATGTTCTTGGTGTTTATTTCCTTTATAATCGTATCGAATGAAATGACATTTTTATTTTGCGAAAATCGTTGGAAATTTTTAGACTTCTTCCGAGTATCTGAATTTGCTGCCTTCAGCAAAAAGAAACAAGAATTTAGCAGGTTAGGCTGACTTGGATTTGCCGTGTATGGCAATTTTATTGCAATATCATTTGAGCATAACACATTAATGCTCATGATCTTTTTTAGTGATTGTACATTGTATTGGTCCTGTATGGTCACGCATTTGGTATTAACTTTGCTAAGTTTAAAATTTTCTTTTGTAAATTATATTAACATTGATGACATTTGTATGCTCTAGATGTTTACCTATGTGTCCTGCTAAGTTTTTTTCTGAGACTAATTTAATCGAGCATTTGCTTAATTTAGGTCGCTTTCATTGATCGTATCTTGTGGCGCCTGAACTTGCCTGTTCATCAAAGTTTTTAACACCACCAATGCATTAAGAAAAGTTAATAAGCCATTTTATGAAATTTTTTGACAACTTCTCTCCTTGCACCTTATGTAAAAATCTCGTCAATCACAGTTTCGTTCAAAGCTGCTTTTAGTCATCATGGGTCGCTGCAAATCTGAGTTTACGGATCGGGCAGATATCACCGATACTTTCACATTATTGATTCGGCTTTGTGTAAGTCGGTTCAACATATCAGATCATGCCATTTAATTGTTGAAACTTTGCATGAGGACTTGGAGTGGTTTTATACCGATAGATATATGAGCTATGCAGCAATGCTTACCGATTTAAGCCATGTGAACCAACATGTGACTGCGCTTTGATAACCATAAAACGTAGAAGTGTAAATAGTTCGCGTAATGATCTCCTATTTGAAATGTTCTACAAAATTAAGCTCAAAACGTTTATGCATTATATCAGTGCCTAATTAGAGTTTATTCGGTGATATAAATTACCTAAGCAAAATAAATGGTAACAGCGATAGGCTTTACAGGGTTGATATACATCGAATTATACGACGTTTTTTAATATAAAATAAGTTTAAACTTATGTTTCGAGGGACTCCATTAATAGCAATCTGAAAATCAGTAAAACTATCCCATCAACGAGACTTAATCGTGATTCCATTTTCGCGCATAATTATGCTACCATCACTCGAGTTCAGTTAATTAATTAGATAATTTGCAGTGCCAGATGAAGTGATCCACGCTCTTCATAAGGGTGAACAAATTGAGCAAAGTCCATCTCCAATGAAAAACTGGTACTCTCGTTCAGGATGGCTATTACAAAGGTCAGTTACTTTTTATACCAGCAGCTAACTGTACAAACTAAGCTAGGCCTTACAGTTCGTGAAACACATATCCACGATTACACTCGCTTCCATTAACTTGTCAAAAAATATATGGTTTGCGAATTTAAAAATGATTAGGTCAAAGTTGGTTGCCAAATGCACAAATGTGCAATGTTTGGTGCCACGATGGGTGTAGAGTTACCCATTTTAATGTTGATTTTATCAAGAAAAATCCCAACCTTTGAGCAAAACTTGACTTAACAAGAAACGATTTTACTTCGGCGTAATCGGGACTATATACTACTTTATGACCTCAAAATTATTGTTGGAAGACCAATGACAGAATTTTGCACCAAAAATAGCATTGAATTTTAAATTTTGATTAAAAATCCAGTTGAAATTTCCTGATATTTTACTCAAACAAATGTTTTAAAACAGATCTCCAAATATAGATTACCTGCAGAATCAGAGATTAGGAAAATGCTTTGTCCATCCATGTCTACTAATGCCCATAAGTGAAACCGAGAGCAACCTGCATTATAAAACACAGTGACGTGTCCTGTTAACCATCAGTAACAGCGCCATGAACTTTTCCAAACTTCCCGATTTCAACCAGTCACCACTTTTGCGATTTCAGCACCATAAACTCGGTCCTTGTTACTATTTATTGTAGCCAAACAGATATCTTTTCGTGTAAAAGCTCGTAAAGAATGGAATTGGAACACATGGAAATCTGGATTGCTTTTTTAGGGAATAAGCGCACCACTGTCAGCCTAACTTTGATGCCGTTTATAGTTGTTTAAATGAGAAGCAATTTGATAACAATGCTGTATCTATCTAAATTTTTATTTTCCCAGCTCCTGGCATACGAATTAGGCAATGCATGTTATTTTGCAATGATCTTGTGAACGCATACATCAAACGAGCATCTTATTCATGAAAATGAAGAGCACTTTAGAGATTTATACTCATATCGTGTGAGCCAAGGCGCCAAAAGCATTACTCACCTTTTCTTTCACTTTTTGTCTTTTTGACACGCATTAATCTCTCGCCTGCGCAAAAATGCAGCGGTTGCACGGACGCACAGGCACTACAACTCCGATTGGTTATGCCATCCTGGAGCATGATTGGGTCATAGGATGACGACAACGCGCGGGTTAAGCAAATAATAAAGTCTGACGTTCAGCCGAACTGGCAGCATGATGTGATATTTAGTGCCCTCAGTGCTTCAACGTTAAGCACACTGAGTTTAGAGATAAAAAGGGAGGATGGAATCGCGTGGAAAGCATCTTACAAATTTCACAGCTGTAACCCAAGCTCCTCCTGTATGTCCAAACGGCACGTTGGATGTTATTGCAAGGAATAATGGCAGCGATCTCCTAATGTACTCCCGTTTTGCTCCACCTATCAATGAAATGGTGGAGAAGGTCAGTTACCCATTATGGTGTTCCCTGGGGTTGCCTGGAAGCCTACTCAGCATTTATGTTTGGTCAAGACGGAATATGCGAAAGCAGGGCAGCGTCGCAGCCGCTGTTTATCAAGCTGCATTAGGATGGGTGGATCTATTTTTCTTTCTTGTGCAATTGATGTGGTATCTGCATACTGCTTGGCGGCTACGAACACTCGACCATTCCGTGATATGCGAGGGATTCGCCATTGCCAACTACCTAATTCAGTATGCCAGTCCAATGCTAACGCTTGTATTCACGGTGGAAAGGTACATTGCAATTTGTTTTCCGTTTCGGGCTGGTGCTCGAAATTTTGGCAATAGTTGTAGAAGCGCTCTCCATGTTGTTCTGGCATCAATCGTATTTTGTGCTCTTTTGGCCAGTGTTCAAGGGGTCTTTTACACAATCACCAATGGGAACTGCGGTTTGCGGCCTGATTTTGAGCAGGAGGGTGAGCCTGAATGGCTCTTTTACACGGGATGGATTATGTTCACGGAGCTTCTTATGTTTGGCCTTGTTCCAATAATTTGCCTGATTCTTAATATTCTAGTTATTCGGGCTTTGCATAAAATTTCTCATGATGAGGCAGCTGCCTCAAAGCGGGAACGGCTCTTGCCAAGGCCACCAACAACTACTAGCTGTAATCGTTATTCCACAACAAGCTCCGTTTATCTCCCTCAGCTAGAGGCCTCATTCAATGAACGACAGAGTAAACAGTCAAGCACTCTTACCCTTCTCTGTGTCTCTTTCTACCTCATATTCGCTCACCTATCCGTGGCAGTAATGGTCGTGCTTTACATTATTTTGCCCATGGGGGATACCTGCATGACCGATGAGGAGATATCCAAGGATCCAACATGGCGCCGACACTTTCGGTTCTTTACTGTCCGTTCGCTTATCGAGTCTTTCGGCATATCGCACTATGCT